CATTACACAGGTACAAATATACACGCTCATTGTGATCATTGAGATATCTATCCATGCTGCCCAAGGCTCATCTCACTTATGAGTCACTGATTTCTCGATCTGCAGTCTCCAGGACCCATAAGGCTTCTTGAGAACAGAAAGCATGTCTGTTCTACTTTGCACCACCAGGAAAACTCTTTCCTCTCTGTCTCAGCAGAAACTCTCAAAGTTCCCTCTTCCATTGCAGGTGGGCCAATATCCATTATAATCTATAATGCAAACTCACCTAACAGACACACACACACACTCAAAGATAAAGGGAAGTTCAGATCCTGAATTGAGTTCTTGGCATTTCTGCTTCCAACCCTGGGCCAATAAAAACAAAAACTTGCTTGTGTTCTTGAAATGGGTTTGAAAGGATCTCTTTTACTCTTTTCTGTGACTTATAGCAATAAGAACCAAACAAATTATTACCTCTGTGAATTATCTTGCCATATGTATTACCGGCAAATTTTTCAACAGGAAGAAAATTATATAATACTTAACCTAACACAGTAATAAAGAAACTCACCAATTGCCAGAATTAATACAATGTAATGAGTAACTGTTGCAGTGGTAAACATAGGTTCTGCAAAACTTCACCTTGATGTCACAGTTCAATTCAGTGCACTTCTATTAAAGTATGACCTTTTGGACTCTGTGTATCACACATGGCATCAGATTGTTTTTCTCCACACACCTGAGATTCCATAGATTTATCTGCCTATTTTCTCTCAAAATGTCTCAAAAAATTTCATAATTGTGGGCTATATTAATTTAATACCCTGAATATTTAACAAAATATTTGTAATATCCTTGCTTTATTAGAATTCTAATTAGGGAATTGTTCTACTTACTATTTTTGTATAAAAAATAACCCCCAAACTTAGCAGCTTAAAGCAACCATTTAATTTTGCTCACAAAGTTATGGGTCAATTATACCTTAATAAATCTGAAATTAAAACAAAAAAGAGCGAGCTGGTGTTGCTCAGTGGTTGAGCATAGATCAATGAACCAGGAGGTCACAGTTAGTTCCAGGTCAGGGCACATGCCCCGGTTGCGGGCTTGATCCCCGGTAGAGGGCATGCAGAAGGCAGCCGATCAATAGTTTTCTCTCATCATTGATGTTTCTATCTCTCCTCTACCTTCCTCTCTCTGAAATCAATAAAAAAAATATATATATATATTTTAAAATATGAAAGGACTCAGCTGGGTGCTTCTCACTTGCATCCGGTCATGTGACTATACTGAGATGTTGGCTGGGCTGCAATCAACCCAAGATGACTCACTCACCCAGTCGATAACTGATAGTAGCTATCAGCCAGAGCTCCTGTCTATTAACCAGAGCACCTGCAGAGAGCGTTTCCAGTTTGCAAGTCCCACATACAGTAGTCTGACCTTTAACTTGGTGGTTCAAGTATTCCAACAAACAAGGCAGAGGAGCCTTTTTGTGGCCTAGTCTGAGATGTAACACAGCATTGCCGCAGCCACAATCTGTTGTTACAAACAAGTAACAAGGCACCCAATCCAAGCAGAGGGCACATGGACCCCCACCTCTCCATGTGAAGTCAAGTTGACTAAGTAAGGACATTACTATTTGGGATGGGAGATACTGTTGCAACCATCTTTGCAAAATATCATGCAGGATTCAAGGCATCCATTGTTTTGGTGTATACACCAAAAATATTAGGAACATTGCCTAAAGTCTCTACAGATATAAAATTAGTCTTCCACATGTATCATCTTCCGATTAATTTCGGTAACAATAAATTTTATCACCAGCCACCTTTTTCGCCCGTCACTTTGCTATATGCTTTGAAGGAGAAGAGAGATGCTAGCCTTAACACAAGATTTTGATTTTCCTTCATGGGCTCTGATGAAGGAAGAGAATTGTTAATAATAAGTTTATTAGATTCAGGAGAAAATAGTGACATACAAATTATTCCTACCCATTAAATTCTATCTCTTTAAAAGAATGACTCTTCCTGTTGCCATTTGAGATTGATCAAGAAAAAAATAAGAAAAAATTTTCATTAATCTTTTTATTAATTTCTTTAAAACTTTTCATTAATACAAAGGAGATAAATGTTTACTGAGTTACATTTGTCTGTTAGACTGTGATATGTACTATATATCTAGATGTATGCCTACATCTCCATCTCTAAAAGTATCCATATCTATACTCAATCCTCATATCAATCTTCAGATGAAGTAGAGACTCAACGGCATTAAGTAGTTTTCCAAAGTCATAGAGCTAATTTGTAGCAGAGGTCAAGACTGGAATCAGTATTCAGTGACTTTAAAGCTTATGCTCTTTCCACAACATCATTTATATTAAAATATTACTATAAGTACATACTTTTTCTTGCTGGAGTGGTCATCTGAATACTTTCTCAAAATTACTTTTCCTGGACAACATCCATTTTCTTAAAATATCTTCAATAAGAGTCTTTTCAAATACTAGATAAGTATGCAGCTTTCACAAGCGACACACAGTGAGTCTTGAATTGCAGTCATTTGTTTCACATTGGTTTTCTCATCATCGGAAAATCTCAGGAAACGCAACACAATTGCAGAGGTGGGAATCTTTTCATTTATATCTATACTCATTCAGCCATGGCTCAGAAATGCCATTCTAACTTGATAAAAAGAATGCTTAACACAACAGGGACCTTGTTTCCTCCTTGAATAAAATTTGTCGCCAGATAGGTAATTTTGTGACTCAAATCCTTCCAAATAACTTTACTTTATTTGGATATCCAAAAATGATACAAATCAGCTCATATATGTGTCATTAAAGAGAGAAATCTGAAAATGTGTTTCAATTAGTACATTCCTACAATCTATACAATTGAATCTCCAAAATCTTTGCTATTTTCAGTTTTTATGTAGAACACTTTAACTGCCATCCCAATAATACTTTAATAAATCATATGTTTTCAGAATGGTGAGTTATTATTCCCCTGGGATGATACAGTCCTTCCATGTCCCACTGCGCCTAGTTTATGCCTGCGTTATACCCATCAAGGACTAGGGGTGTCTGAATTTTTTAATCTCCTTTAGGCACGGTACCATACCGTTTTGGCGTCTGTGAGGACGACTGCAGTGTCTGACAGGGAACTGCAGCTTGAACTGACAACTAAAGTAGGAGTAATTTAATTGTGCAAAAGTAATAGGTTCTTTATGGTGATTAATTGTGATCCCCCACTAAAATCTTTAAGGTAGGTGAGAGCTCGCTGCTTCTCCTAACCTCACTATCCAATTATAATGAAATAAATTTCAGACCACGCTCCCCCACACATTTCGAGGTTTATTAACCACGAGCGTGTCAGCAGGGAGGCAGAGGTTTGTATTAACCGAGAGCGTGTCAGCAGGGAGGCAGAGGTTAGGTACCCTGCTCTGCAGGCTCAGTGGAGCCCCAGCAGCGTGTCCTTGGGCCTTNCTGTCAGCAGGGAGGCAGAGGTTAGGCACCCTGCTCTGCAGGCTCAGTGGAGCCCCAGCAGCGTGTCCTTGGGCCTTCCAGCCACCCCTGTGCCTGAAAAGTTTACGTGAGTCCAGCAAGATGAACTCAGGGAAATGAGATCATCTGGACTTTGTGTGTTAATGTAAGGAGTTTAAACTTTTCTGAAAGATAAGAGAAACCGCAGGAGAATTTTAGTCGTGGAAGTAGCATATGTTTTAGAAAGGTGACTGCGAGAGCCACGTGTGAAGGGGCCGAAGCAGGGCTGGGGAGGCCGTGGGTGAGGGGTTGACACCCCGGAGAGGTGCTGAGAGCTTGGGCAGAGGCGGAAACGTGAGAACAGTGAAGGGGGCCGATTGGAAAGAAAGAAGTCAAAGGCCTTGAGAGTGAGTGGGCCTTAGGAGCGTGAGACAATCCCAGACCCCGAGCCTGGGCCACGGGCGGGCAGAGCTGCGCAGCATGAATGACCTAGGAAGGTGAACGAATAATCAAATGAGCAGCGGGTCTAATGTGGGCGCTTATTCTTCATATATGAAGCCATCCAATAAATACGCTTTTCTTAGACGTTTGTATAACCATAAAGATAGAAGGCCGTGGCGGGAGCCTCCTCTCACTGAGGCACTCATGCCCTGCCAGCCCAGCGGGCTCCCCTTTCTCTCGCTTGGCTTGTTCCACGGCTCAGCTCCTTCTACCTCCCTGAGCACATCGCTGTGGACGCTTGTCCTCACTGGCCACCCTCACGGGGAGGAGCCTTCACAGCGCCTGTGTGACCCCCGCGAGCCCGACAAACTGGAATCCCAGGGAGGCGTGTGAATCTGCACCAGGCTCAGAGCTTACTGTGGGTTCTCTCCTGCAGCAATTGACAACTGAGACTGGAATCCAAAGTAATCAATAAAATGTGTTTTATATATGTGTCAAAATTATGAATTATTGTAAGCGCCTCTCCCTGAGCAGTTGCTTCATTAAGCAATATACTTTTATATACTATAAAATTTAAAACAGGAACTTATGCTTTTATCTATACTATAGAGTTGCTTCATCGTGAAAATGTATATATTTTTTCCTAATTAAATATAGCTAAAAAGTTCCTAAAGAATATCCCGTTTTCTGATAAAATGTAAATTTTTCCTGAACATTCTGTAAAACTTTATTTATGACAATAGAAACAGTAAAGAAAATCAATATATTGAATTCAATAAATAGTGTTGTTAATTTGGAAAGCAGTTCTGTACCAAAACAAGTAACTACCTTTTGAAGATCTAGAGAACAATGAAATACACTTAACTATAAAATTCATGTAACATCATCACAGCATAGAACTTAATAGTTTAAAGTTAATCAAGAAATATTTTAAAATCTTGAAGACTATTAGAATAGAATTTCAAGAGTCAATTTTTATGTTTTGGATGTTTGAAAGTATAATTTCTATTAGATGCTCTTCTACTGAATTTAATAGTAAATAATAGATTTTACTATACAAAAGTCAAAGAAGAATGCAGACAGTGAGGCAAAGCAAAATGATTTATTGTGCCACCAATTACAACTTAACAAAATACACTAAATAACACTGAATATGTATTTTCTAACTCTGCATGGAAATAACTGTGTAAATCAAGAAATTAACTACAAAAAAAACTTACATATTTTAAATAGAGAAACTTCCCACAGATAACCATAGGTGAATATTTATATTTAAGAGTGTGGAGGTTTATTTAAAAGTATGCTGTCACATTAATATGTTAAATCCCAGAAGAATCTCCCCCACACACTTTTTTTTACAGTATGACAGCCTGTACATTTTCTGATTATATTCACAGGAAAATATGACACAGCAATATTAAAATAGAATTGTTAGGGAGAACTAAATACAATTTTATCAATAAAAAAATACTACATGCACACTGAGCACCCACAGTATCATGAGTCATTTTAACATGAGAGCAATTTATAGGGTTTAAGATGACTATAGTTGGATACATTTTTCCAAGTAAAAGAATGTGACTCAGAAACAGTGTCAAAGACTTCTATCAGCCAAAAAGTGTTCCAGCACATTATTTTAATTACAATAACCGAATTGAAAAAATTCCAAAGAATAAAGAACTTTGCTAGTGAAAACAGAACCAAAATGATTATACATATTTTTTTTCTGATAGTTTAGCAGTGAGTTTTGGTACCTCCTCAAATCTTGTAAAGGTACTACTTTGAGTCTATTTAGTTCACACCCATCACACTTTTTAAAATGTTGCCAAGGGTATAGATGAATAAAATTATATGCCAAAAGTTGTATTCTACAAAGTATATATTTTCATTTTTTTAACCACTTATTTTACTCAACACTATTTTTTTTCTAATTTATATCAACATATAACATTTTAAATTATGAACTTGGAAACAACTCTATAAAAAGTTCTTTCTTCTTTCTATCTCCAAAGAGAAGTGAAGAACGTAGAAGAATTTAGAAAGAATGATTACAACATGTCTAACCATTAAATAATATCTATTTCGAAGAAAATGTTTCAGTTGTTTATATACCAAAAATAAAGATGTTTAGAATAACTTAAGTTCATCTTAGGGACACAAAATATCTTTTTACATTTTGGTTAAGAATTACTAACTTATCTGTCAGTCCATATATGTAACAATGCACTTTTTAAGATGCTTACTTAATAATCTTAAAAAAAGGCCACCCACCCCCCATTTTGTATTGTTTCTAAATAATAATTCTGTGCAGGTTGCAAGGACTAAAGTGGGGAATAGAGCTGGTCACTAAAATAATTACATTGTGCTCTATTGGACAAACAACAGCACATAATGTAGAAGACAAGAATTCACAAGTCTGTGTTTAAATAAGCATTTTAGGAGTAGACCTCCAACATTCAAAATATTTATGTTACAGAAAACATCCATAATCACACTGCATGGAAAATTTATTTTGCATATCCCTTGATCCCTTTAACATTTTATATGTTTGAAACGAGTTGAACAATTTCAGTCTGACAAGCTTTGAGCCCAATTCCAATTTATCAAATTGGGAATGGCAGCAATTTTTGGGGGGGATATCAATAACAAAACAAAATAGACAAAAAACTTGGTTACTACACGGATGATCTCCTACGGTTTGATACAGATGTTACTTTCTTACGAAGGCTAATAAGAAAAAGACCTCTGAAAAATATTCAAGTTAAGTAGGAAGTGAAAACCATAGGCCCTTTCGAACTTATAAACAGGTGAGCACTCAGACCTGCACGTGAACATACAAATACCCCTACACCTGTCTTTCTGAATATTTCTCTCTCCAGACTCAATTTTTTTGAGAAAAAAGAGAATAGAGCTCTAGGAAAAATATATTCCAGTGTTTGATGTTACTTTACATTTAATTCGTCTCTCCTTTAAAACGCTTAGGGCTAATTTAAAAAATCTAAATCCCCCATGGAGTACGTAAAATAGTAACAAAATCTTCATCATCCACTACTCCTATACTTATACCTTCATAGTAATCTTCAAATTCTCCATAGGACACTTCCTCAGACTTGCTGCAGGCACCTTGTAATGTCTCCAGAAAAGACAATTTGATTTCTTCCTCTGTGGAATGGCCTGCAAAATTGTATTGATGATGTGACAATCTCCATAAAAGCACAGGACAATGACTGATGGTGGTAAAGAAATACGTAATCACCTTGTAAAATCTTTTCAACAATTTGAAATCTTATGTCAAATTATCCTCCAATTTATTTAAACATCTTCTTGCATGAACTAGAATTTAACTTTAATTGGAGGCATCTTTTAAACTTCTGATAAGGCACATCCTATACGTATAGGCAAAATAACAATTAGAACTGTAGATATGCTTGTATTTCTTAATGCTTTAGAGGACTCAGCTTCCCATTAGAAATAAGAAGAAAACAAATAATTTCAAAGATTTATAAGCTGTTAACGCAGTGATGCAATGTGTGAAAAGCTCTCTTCATTCAGGCATTAGTTAATTTGTGAGTCAGTTACTCATGACTGCAGCTAGAAAATATTACTGCAAACACAAGATTCAAAGGCCTATGAAAATGTTTGCTGGAAGCACTTACATTTGATTAAATCATTATATTTTAATCTCTGACATTAAGTAGGCTGTTTCCATTGGGTTATATTAATATGATTGACTTTATCCTATAAGAAGATGCTATTGAGAATCATATGTGTAAAAAAGATTATAATTCCTTAATTTGTTATTTAAAGAGAGAACATAAAATATCTGATTTATCCTTTTAAAAATTTATTTGATTAAAAATTTTTTTAAATTGATTTTAAAGAGAGGAAGGGGGGTGGAGGGGGAGAGAGAGAGAGAGAGACAGAGAAACATCGATTTGTTGTTCCACTTATTTATGCATTCATTGGTTTATTCTTGTATGTGCCAGGGATCGAACTTCCAACCTTGGCTTATCAGAATGACGCTCTAACCAGCTAAGCTACCTGACCAGAGCTCATTTGATTTTTTTTTAGTTCAGAAAGAGAATAAGTTATTTAAACAAAATTCGATCATATTATGGTCAGAGAGGAAGATCAGTCTCAGCTTAAACACCATTTTCTTGGGAAGCTTTCACTGACCATCTTGAATGTAGGTTCTCCATCACAGAACCCTTCTCACTAATTTGCCACTCCCTTCACTCCCTACCCTCCTGGCACTAATCTGCTCTCAGGATCTTAGAATAGAACCAGAAAAGAGGCATTCATTATTTTTTTAGTAAGAAAAGAGGAATTAAGAGATGAAAGGAAATTACAGATGGTCAGATAATACTCAAAGAAAATAAACAGAGGCCCATACACAAAGGCAGAAAATGGGTTAGAAAAATCCAAGTGCCTATAAATCATTTTATTTTTTTAATTTATTTTTTTATTTAAGGAGAGTTGGTATAAATTATTTTAAAGTCATGTTGCATTTTAAAATAACAAACTTAAATTGGAATACTACCTTAATTGTTTATCCAACAAAATAGGCAAAATTATGGCAAGAGTTAGATCTTTTTCAAACACCAGAGGTTCTCTAATGGACTTAGATAACAATTCATTCAAGCTAAAAGAATAAAATCTGCTTTGAATAGCAAGATGCTGCTGTCTTTTAAAAACATATGTAGGAAATAAAAAACAATGGTTATTTTTTAAAAAAAAACAGGTTGACTAAACAAGGACTGAATAATTATGCCATACAAATATGGTAATATAAAACAATAAAGTGAATTTGTGATCGAATGTTAGTCAGGGATAAAAATTAATCAAGAACTAATCTATATAAAAATATACACCTCTTGGCAGAAGAGATCTCCCTCTCTGTCTACTATCCATATTTTTGAACAGCTAAGTTTTCACACTATTTTTTTCTAAGAAAAACATTTTTATTTAAATGTCTTTTTAAGTAAATATTTATTTCAAATACTCAAGAATTTTATACCTCTTTGTATTCCCACCCAGGAAATGCCTACTTTTTATCATTTGTAACTAACCTTTCTTTACTTCTCTTAGTATTTTAATAAACATTAGATTTCTAATACTATTACACAGAAAAACACTAAATTCCATTTCTATTAAAGTTGAAAATACTTTAAATAAATTATTTAAACAAAATAAATTATATTTTCTGTAGTTATTAAAATGTCTGATCTAAAAGCCTTGATTTGAAATTAATTTAAATTGTAAACAATCTATATCCCAAAGATGGGTATGTGAGAAAATTATAATTTATGATAGATTTTAAAAAGGGTGTGTTTTCTTTAAACAGTAAGGTTTTCCTCTTTTAAGGTTTAGTTTGCTAGCTTATCTTCTTCAACGTGAATGCAAAAGACAAGGTATGTAATTTCTTAAACTAACAAAGGTTTATCCAACAACAAAACAAAACCCTCACCAACAATTCAAGGATATATAAAAAAACCTAAAGCTACTTAAGCAACTTAAGATTACTAGAGGGAAGAAGACAAAGATAAAACCTACATGGTGTTGAAAGCACTTAATTATGAATAGTAAACTATCTTGTCCTTATCTTTAGTAAGATTAATTAAAGGAAAAAAGCAGAGAATGACATGGGTTTTAAGGGAAAGAGATACTATATATATAACTAAATAATACTAGAAATTCTCTTACAGCAACTGTAGTTCATTTAAAGTCATTGATAAGCAAATTAAGCTAATTTGACCTGAAATAAATTATTAAAAATTGGGAAGCCAGTGGTGATTATTAGCTTTAATCGTCATAACAAATTCTGTGTTTTTTTACTTCACAATTAAAAGTAATGAATAAACTATTTACAAGGGTTAATAAAAATAATAAACCAAAGTAATTACAGTATATCTTTTTAATATTAAAAAAGAAAAATTTTAGAAGAATAGCATTCTATAGTATTTAACAGTATATAATCAAAATTATTAATTAGAAGTTATTCATTAAATATAAATTATAAATGGTCTATATATATATATATATATATACAAAAATATGCTCAACCTCCCTAATAACCAGGGAAATGCAAATTTAAAAAATTATAGCCTATTAGATTGGTAAAAATCTGAGTTAAAATAAATTCTCCAACTAATAGCTGTATAATCTGGTATAGCCATCTCACAAAGCAATTTGGAAGTATCAATTAAAACTTGAAATGTTGCCCTAGCCGGTTTGGCTCAGTGGTTAGAGTATCAACCCATGGACTGAAGGGTCCTGGGTTCGATTCCAGCCAAGGGCACGTACCTCGGTTGCCACCTCAATCCTTGGTCCCCATCCAGGCGCATGCGGGAGGCAACCAATCAATGTGTCTTTCTTACATTGATATCTCTATCCCTCTCTCTATCTCTCTCTCTCTCTCCCTCTCCTTCTCCTTTTCCCTCCCCCCTTCTACTCTCTGTGAAAAGCAATGGAAAAAAACAAAACAAACTTGAAATGTATATATTGTAGGTCTTGATATTGTCCCAAGAAAATAGCAGAAAATAGGCCAAATAAGCCTATTGCTTTATTGGTTGCACATCAGTAAGTAGAAATTNCCCCTCTCCTTCTCCTTTTCCCTCCCCCCTCCCCCCCTTCTACTCTCTGTGAAAAGCAATGGAAAAAAACAAAACAAACTTGAAATGTAGATATTGTAGGTCTTGATATTGTCCCAAGAAAATAGCAGAAAATAGGCCAAATAAGCCTATTGCTTTATTGGTTGCACATCAGTAAGTAGAAATTAAAAGTCTTCCAATAGGAAACTAGCCAAATAAATTACAGTATATTTATTTTTTAAAATAATAATATGCAGCAGATAAAAATAAGGTAGCTCAATGTGGATTAACATAAAAAATACTCTCAAACATATTGTTGAGTATAAAAAGCAAACTACNTGAAATGTATATATTGTAGGTCTTGATATTGTCCCAAGAAAATAGCAGAAAATAGGCCAAATAAGCCTATTGCTTTATTGGTTGCACATCAGTAAGTAGAAATTAAAAGTCTTCCAATAGGAAACTAGCCAAATAAATTACAGTATATTTATTTTTTAAAATAATAATATGCAGCAGATAAAAATAAGGTAGCTCAATGTGGATTAACATAAAAAATACTCTCAAACATATTGTTGAGTATAAAAAGCAAACTACATAGCAATATGTTTAGTGATCTGTTCATGAAAAAACAGTATTTACAGTACATGTAAACTATGAAAATCCATACAACAAGGACTGAAATATATATATTAAATAATAGTAATTGCTACCTCTGTAGAAGGAAATGTGATGTAAAGAGGAGAGTTACTATGGACAAATGCTTTCTGTATAATAAAAATTCATTTATAAATCAATTATGTAAAATTTAAAGTCAGAAGAAATATAGTAGGTAATGAATTTCTAGAATCACTTTGAGATGTTTTCTATATCCTCAAATTTTCACAGACATATGTATGTTCATTGTATGTATAGCTTTACCCTTAGAGAAAGGGATTCTGCCTCAAATCTTCAAGTATAAGTGCTTTCAGTAAAACTAATTCAGAGAACTTGCACGAATTATTATCTGTTCTCTGTATCTATTCTGTTGTTTTTAACTCAAATTCCTCAATATCTCAACAGGAAATAAAAGTTCAATCTTGATTATAAACATCAAAGAAAAAAATAAGTACAGACAATAGATCTAAGAAGTTTTAAATGAAGATCAAATAGCTCTCACTTTTCTAATTTAAAAGATAATTGTTTATTCCTCCCTAATGGCCTCAGGTCCACAGTAAAAATTAAAATTATTTGAAGATATTATTTTTATTAACTAACATTTTAGAAATCTAATGCATTTTAACTCATAATAATTACCTGAAATTACTTGAGGATGCTTCTTTGCACAGTAACATTTTCTTATGTCTATAATAGGCACACTGCCAGTTTTGTTGAAATCCAGTTTCATAAAGGCCTAAATAACAAGAGAAATGTTATTTTTTTCTGTGAAATCATTAGACATGCAAGCTTAATTTTTTATTTTCCAGTAGTTATTTATTGGCTCTAAACAATTTAAAAATTCTAAACTGGTATATGAAGGAAGCATCATGAATACAAGGAAGAAAGGTATTAGAGCAAGATATAAGGTGTCAGTTGATGGTCGCTGGCACCAATTCAATGCCAACAGGAATCCTCAATTTGGAGTACAGTGCAGAAGGAGACTATCAAGTGCAAAGAGCTCAACTGTGAAATAGCAGGCTGTGGAACAGCATGGCTGCTCCTATCTGGTCTGCTCCATTTCACTCTGGTCTGGTCTGTGTGCTCTGCTCTGCTCTAGTCTGTTTCACTCTGGTCTAAAGTGACATCTTCAGTGTTTCAGCTCCAGCTGGGAAAACACAGTCTTCAGTATTCCATGGAAAGGGAAAGTGCACCACCCTAGCCTACAGAAAGCTGACTTAGAGAGAGAAGTCTCTGCTCCTGGATGCAATTGGTCCATGCTCGTGCAAATGAGGACTCCAAATCCTCACAATTTGATTGGTCTAAAAAGCACTGTTTTGATTGGTCAGAATGGAGCTGCTCTGATAGGCCAGTAAGATGCTAATGAGGATATATCTGCACAGTTCCTATTGAACAGGGAAAGTCTCAGTTCTATTGGTTGAAACACAATTCCAGGAACCCCTTTATAAGGGCTGGCCCATATAGTAGGAACACAGTGCAGGCTGTTCCGTGAAGCTTGGTCTGTGTGACAGGCCTCTATTGGGAATGGCTGCTAGGCTCTATTTATAGATTAGGTATATTCTTTCTAGGGGTCAAAATAGGTAACCTGCACTCAAATATTAGTTCTACCACTTTCTAGCACCTTGACTTTGATAAAGTAACCTAACCTCTGTTGCCTTGGCTTTCCTCCTCTACACACTAGAGTTAGGTAAAAAAACCTTTCAGGTAACTTCCAGTGTAAGATCCAAATGAAACTGATAAATGGCTAAGACAAATTGCCAGAACTATTTTGATTTAAAAGTGAACTTCCAAATATTCCATCAGTAAAATCAAAGAGGTTATTCAGTTAAAATGGAATCATTAGGGTGGGCCCTAATCCAATATGACTGGGGTCCTTATAAAAAGAAGAGATTAGGACAAAGACAACACAGACTAAGGTACAACCATATGAACAACACCAAGGGAGAAGGCAATTACAAGCCAAGGAGAGAAGCCTCAGGAGAAACCAAACCTGCTGACACCTTGATCTTGCACTTCTAGCCGCCAGAATGTTGAGACAATAGATTTATGTTGTTTAAACCACCTAATCTGTGATAGTTGTTATGGCAGCCTTAGCAAACTAATACAGTACCTTATAACTCTACTTTTGTCCTCTGTTCTCAGTACCAAGATATATAAAAGAGACAACTCTCCAGTTTCTACTTCTGATACTCAAACCTATCACCAGGGTATGTAAAGTACAAATAGATGCAAATTTACACATACTATGGGGAAAATTTGTTTGGTTTAAGGTTTTTAATTGTCTTTTGGCCAGTAGAGATTTTGGTATGTTTTATTTGAGATTGATACTTGATGTAATTGTCTATACTATTCTATACACAATAGCTTTGTTCAGTATTAGATACATATACATTTTATATTAGGTACATAAACAAAAGAAAATAAAAGTACATTGCTCAAAAGTATGTTCTAAAATGCTACCAGGCTGGAGTAATATGTAGTTCCCTATAAAAATCAATACTCCTGTTTTTAGTTCCAATTTAACATGATCATTTTAATCTTCATTTTAACATTTGGCATGCATGTTATAAAAACCAGAGAACCATCTTAGTCAGGTTAAGATAACATGCATTGAGCCTTGACCATGGGAAAGCCACAACTCGAAGAATTTTACACATATTATCTAATTCAATCCTTATACCAGCTCTGAGAGATAAGGAACTGAGGTTTGAGATATTTAAAAAACACATATTGTGGAGATTCCAAGATGGAAGCAGATTGAGTGGAAGCTACACTGACAATTTCTAAGGACCAAAGTGGAATTACAACTAAAATATAAAAAAAAAATCCTGTATAATCAACCGAAGACTAGCTGGAGAGCACCCTCATTACCAAGGAGGAAAAATGGAGACCACATAGAGACTGGTAGGACGTGTGGAGGCGCAAGAGGGTTGATTGGGCTCCCACAGGCAGCAGCTGAAGGTCCAGAGGGATATCTCAGCTGTGGAGAGTTACCAATGAGAACTCTGGGGCCTAAAACCCAAGCTTGGCTCCCCAGCCCATAGCACCAGAACTGAGAAAGGTGCCCACATAACATCTGGCTGCAGAAAGGAGCAGGGTTTTTGTCTGCCAGGGAAAGATGGCTGGAACTGCAGGCACCCTCTTCAAAAAAGGCCAATGCACAAAGTGTAATGTGTAGCCACTCCTCTTGGGCTCCTGGAGAGGGAGGGCAGAGTGGACTAAAGCAGTGTGAGAAGAATCCAGGGTTTCCAGCTCTGGAGATGGATCTCAGAGGGCAGACATCTGGATTCCTGCACTGAGTCATTCCCCCATACTGCAGAGGATATCTTTCTCAGGCAGACCTTTGCCAGCCAGGCAGCTTTTCCCTAGGAGGAAAGCAGTTGCCCCACTCACTAGAAAACCTCTCACCCCACCCTATGGAGTTTATGCCTTGCTGTGTTCTACAGCCCGAGGCTCATTAAGAGACTAAGATCAAATCAGCCTGCAGACAGAGGTGGACCTATGCTTTGAGTCTTTGCCTGATCTGTTTCTGGACCCTGGCTTCGGAAAAAGCATACTTTGGTGTGCATCTTGGTCCTGTCCAAACACACTCAGCCCCAGCAAAGGAAACAAGCCATCCCAGCAGAGGGAACCACAAGCCGTGAGTTGTTTATAGCTCCAAACAGGGTACTCAAGGCCAGTCACAAAGAGTGTCTGACATTGGCCTACACCAGAGACCCTCCAAAAGGACTGAGTCCTACCAGAGCCACCTAATACATAGGCAGCCAAAATAGGAAAGCAAAAAAACAAGCCCCAAATGAAAGGACAAGCGAAGTCTCCAGAAAAAGAGCTAAATGAAATGGAGATAATCTATCAGATATAGAGATCAGAATACTGATTGTAAGGATGCTCAACAACATGAGAAAAGATATGGAAACTATGAAGGATGACATAGCAGAAATAAAGACTACATTGGAAGGAATAAACAGCAGATTAGAGAAAGCTGAAGATTGGATCAGTGAATTAGAAGACAGGGCAGAAAAAAAATCACTCAATCAGAGATTCAAAAAGAAAAAACAATTTAAAAACAGGAGGACAGTTTAAGAAAGCTGTGGGACAACATGAAATGTAACAATATTCACATCATAGGAATGCCACAAGATGGAGAAAGTTAGCAAACATTAGAGAACCTGTTTGAAGAAATAATGGCAGAAAACTTCCCCAACCTGGTCAAGAAAAATGTCACACAAGTTCAGGAGGCACAGAAAGTCCCAAGCAAGAATAACTCAAAGAGGCTCATGCCCAGATACATCATAATTCAAGTGCAAAAAATTCAAGACAAAAGGACAATCTTAAAGGCAGCAAGAGAAAAGCAAGCTGTTACCTACAAAGGAGCTCCTATAAGGCTGTAAGCTGATTTCTCTTCAGAAACTCTACACGCCAGAAGGGAATGGCATGTAGTATTCAAGGTAATGCAAAACAAGGATCTGAAACCAAGAATACTCTATCCAGCAAGGCTATCATTCAAAATAGATGGTGAAATAAATAGCTTTCCAGACAAAAAAAGACTAAAGGAATTTATCACCACCAAACCAGCACTGCAAGAAATGTTAAAGGGATTGCTGTAATAAGAAGTTGAAATAGAGAGAATGAGAAACATAGGCATAAAGAATTAAAATAGCAATAAGTAAGGCCCTATCAATAATAACCTTAAGGACTTTAAGGGAGAGATCAACAGCAATAAAGTCATAGTCAGGAACTTTAACACTCCATTGACCTCCCTGGATATATCTTCCAGGCAAAAAAATCAACACAGAAACAGTGACTAGATCAGATGGATTTAACGGATATTTACAGAACATTTCACCCCAAAGCTGAAGAATATACACTCCTCTCAAGTGCACATGAGTCATGCTCAAAGATAGACCACGTTAGGACACAAAACATGTCTCTACATGTTCAAGAAGATTGAAATCATATCAAGCATCTTGGATCACAATGGCATGAAATTAGAAATCAACTACAGTAATTCAAAAACATTTAGCCCAGCCGGGCGTGGCTCAGCGGTTGAGCGTTGACCTAGGATCCAGGTGATCAGGGTTCGATTCCTGGTCAGGGCACATGCCCGGGTTGCAGGCTGCAGCCAATCAATGACTCTCTTGTCATTGATGTTTCTATCTCTCTCTCTCCCTCTCCTTTCCTCTCCCTGAAATCAATAAAGATATATTTAAAAAAATAAAAAAACATTCAAACACATGGAGGCTAAATAGCATGTTATTAAACAATGAATGGGTTACCCATAAGATCAAGAAAGAAATAAAAAACTTCCTGGAAAAAAACAAAAGTGAACACACAACAATCCAAAATTTTTGGGACACAGCAAAAGCAGTCCTGAGAGGAAAGTTCAGAGAACTACAGGCCTCCCTCAAAAAGCAAAAACATTTTTTAATAAACTATCTAACCCTACAACTTAAAGAATTAGAAAGCTCCCCTGTNTGTGAAGGTTAGGAAGGGGTTGGGGAGGCAGACGCAGGGTGGAGAGGATCAATGGGGAAAAATGGGGGATATCTGTAATACTTTCAACAATAAAGATAAGTTTTTTAAAAAACCACATATAGTCACATACCTAGTAATTTATGGAGCCAATAATTTATGGAACTAGTAATTTGTGAACCAAAATATGATTCAGATTTTATTTTCCTTTTATAATATTTTCTAAAACATATGCATAAATTACTTAGCTTTATCCTAGGAAAGTTATATTTGTATGTGTTTGTTTGTGTTTTACTAAAACCAAAATATCTTACAGGTAAAGAGATTTAGAACATTTTCAATGGTAATTCATAAAAGTTTAAAAATAAGGAACCTAACAATCTATTAAAAGTAACTATTTGAAAAATTACATAACAAAGTTACCTTTCGAACAAATGATTTCCTGTATTCATTCATTTCACCAATAATGGCACGTCTGAAGTCTCCATAGTCAACTCTGCCACTGCCATTGTCATTCAGAATTAGCCATGAAGACTCAAAATCCTAGAAATGACAGAGAGCACAACCACTCTTACACCTTTAAATTGTACATGACAACAAGATAATAGTATTTTATTACACCTTTTATAGTCCTAAACAAGGTAGAGGACTTAAGAAAATTCCAAAAAAAAATTATATATAAATCCAATCAAAGGCACTCAGAGAACTATTTAAAGAAACTGTGGTGGCAATAAGACACAATTTGTCTTTTTAAATTAATTTCCTTTCCATACAAAAATAAAAAGTTCTTACCATTTATGTGGATTTGGACACTTAATTATTTTTACATATTGTATCTGTGACAATTAAAAAATCACTTCAGGTTCTGGAATGCCTCCAATAGCATTAGCACAACTAATTGTATGTCTACTAGTCTTCATGCTTGAAAGTATAAAGCATTATATTTGAATGATTCTAATATTATTCCATAATTTACAGCAAAAGATGTTATTGTGAGTAAATCCCTTATGCTAGTTTGTTCATTTTACTATTGCCACTTATTGCTTTAATAAATACACTATTTAATAGAATGTTCTATTTCCAGAGTTCCTGACAACAAAGAAATTACACCATGAGATTTTCTTAAGCTTGGGTTTCAGTCATTAGCTTTAAATGAGAATGTAAATAAAACATCTGACAAGGTGATTGACAAATAATAGTGAGGTAGGATACTAAGAAGCTAGGAAAATTCCTCAGTGAGGGAACTGAGACGGATAGCTGAACAAACTGGCCAAGCAATTTACAGCCAGATACAGGTCGCCAAGGGTGGAAAGCCCAGGTGTTTAGCAATGAGCAAAACTGATGCTGGATCTTGCCCCCAGGGTGGACTTTCCTCCCCTGGCATATTGTTGGTCTTGTGGTTCCCAGGGGTGGAAAGCCACTTTCCGGACAAGGGCCATCTGGATATTTATAACATCATTCTTGGGCCATACAAAATTATCAACTTAAAAATTAGCTATGAAAAAGCTCCTAGATTTATTGAATTTCGAGTCCTGCCTGCACTTGCCTCGGCAGGGCCAGACCAAATGATTTCCCGGGCCGTATACAGCCCTCGGGCCAGTGGTTCCCCACCCCTGGTTTAGACCCTCTGACCTCTCCTCCCTAGACATAACATTTAGGACTCAGTTGTATTTCAGCTCCAGGCCCAGAAAAGCAAGAAAACCAGGTGGTGATGCCAGGACCAGCTGCCATGGCTAGAGACCCCCTGCCCTGGCGCTGACCAATCAGTAGAAACCACAACCCTGAAGGGGCACACCTGGAAAAGTTCATGAATATTCTATTGAGATCCTCCCCTAAGATCTCCCCTAAACTCCCAGTTTTTAAAAACCCTCAAAACAAAGGACCTAGCACCCTCTCTCTCCTGGGAGCATGCCCTCCCTTTCCCTTCCACCTCTTCTTCCCCCACAGGCCGCATCTCCTAACCTCTAAGGGTCCCCGGAGACTTGCAGCCAGAGGCGCACGGGGCAGCGGCGGCTCCCCCAGGGCTCACCCCTCACCCTTCTTCAAGGCCCCTTCTCTCTGGCTCCCCGGGCGCCAAAGCAGCCCCGCCTGGGCTCTCCTGCTGCCTCTTCTATCCTAGGCTCTTCTTTGTTTCATGGGCCCCACCTTTAATAAACGTGCTCTCAAAATCTCCTGGACTTGTGTTTCCTGAACAAGTTTAAAACACACACACTGCAAGCCCCAAGGCAGACTGCTCAGTGCCAGGTCCCCTTTCCGGTTACAATAGTTCCTCAAAAAATATTCTCTTCTACTTTCTCCAAATGTTTAAAATAAAGCTTTAGTAAGAAAAACTAAATGTTAAGATGCCCTGCTCCCCCCTAATTCTCAACACCCCATATATGGCGTGTCCTCCCCAAATGTATACACACTTTGAATAATTACAAAGGCAGTGTTTAGTAAAATACTTTTCATTTTCAAAATGTAATAGAAATCAGCTGTTAAAGTGTATAAACATTTTTGGGGGGACACCCTGTATTTTTTGGTCTGCTTTAATGATACATACTTTATGTGTCTGTAAAACGAGCTTTTAAGTATGAAAATGAGCTTTACCTTTAAAATCATAATATGGATAAGAAAACATGCATTTGCTCACCCAACACATGAAATACTAGAATTAAAAGATAATGCTTGCCCAGCCGGGCATGGCTCAGCGGTTGAGCATCGACCTAGGATCCANCTGCTTGCCCGGCTGGGCGTGGCTCAGCGGTTGAGCATCGACCTAGGATCCAGGCGATCGGGGTTCGATTCCCGGTCAGGGCACATGCCCGGGTTGCAGGCTCGATCAATGACTCTCTCATCATTGATGTTTCTATCTCTCTCTCTCCCTCTCCTTTCCTCTCTCTGAAATCAATAAAGATATGTTTAAAATTAAAAAAAAGATAAGGCTTAAAAGAAATAATTTTCAAGACTTGAATAACTTACCAAAAGTGGCAACAAATTCATATAACTCTTTTGTTTTAAGATATGGTACAAAATGAAAAATGATAATTTAGCTGAAAAAAACTGAGGTTAATTCAATGATATTATGTCTATAGAAATTAAGCTACTTAGGGTGCATGCCAATTTTTTAAAAATTTCCTATCGGGGAAAACAACTATGCCTTACCACAAACTAGTTCCACAGTTAGACCCAGGCTGGTGATTCTTATATTCGTGTGTGTGTCTGTGTGCACGCGCGTGTGTGTGTGTGTGTGTGTGTGCACACGTGCGCACGCAAAGGTGGCTGCACAAAGGTATGCATTGCAGCATTTTTTATAATAATGATAAACCGGAAATAACCAATGGAAGAGTGGTTAGAAAAGACAAGTTTTAAAAGAAAAGGTTACTTTCTATATGTTAGGTATTTATATGTTATTCTATGTATTAATAATTTTTTAACATTATTTTTATGGTTGACACTACTGCAGGTGTCCTCTGCCCACCTCCATCCTGCCCCCACCCCTCCTTCCCACTAGCCGTCACCACACTGTTGTCTGTGGCTAAGGGTTATGGGTGTGTGTTCTTTGGCTAATCCCTTCACCTTCTTTTGCCCAGTCCCCTTTCCCCACACCTCGCTTTTGACAGCTGTCAGTCTGTATCCATGCCTCTGTTTATATTCTTATTTTTATAGCCACTTAATTTCGCTTATTATTGCATGGCCAGTCTCTAGTGATGTAAGGGGGGAAAAACAGGGAATATTATTTAAAATATATACGAAAAAGAGGAAGCTTACTCATATTTTCATATGTTCTCTCTATGTTAGATGCCTTATATAATTTTTTAGTTTTTATTCCTGAATCTAGTCATAAAAATTTAGCAAATCAACCAAAAATGAAATTATTGTGGTGATGCAGAAAGACTACTGGCCCAGATTATCTGAGTTCTAGTTTTACCTCAGTTATTAATTTCCTGTGTAATTGTGGGTAAATTGTTTTCCAATTTTTTTTATTGCCTTTTGTGTTTGTTTGTTTTATAAAAAGAAGAGGTCAAGTTAGATAATTCATAGTGTCGCTAGGTGGGCCATACAATTAAATGTTGCAAAACCCACAAANATTGCTTTTTGTGTTTGTTTGTTTTATAAAAAGAAGAGGTCAAGTTAGATAATCCATAGTGTCGCTAGGTGGGCCATACAATTAAATGTTGCAAAACCCACAAAAGACAGGTCTATCACAACAATAGTATACAACATCATATTGGCACAGATTTTATAGTCAGTGACATATATTCCTATGTAATGTTCTCATTTGAGCTTCAAAGCTCAAATGCTCTGACTATACACCTTATCTCTGGATTGCCCAAGCAGAGCCTGTCAATTCGAAAAGTGAAAAGACCTATTCAAGACCACGTAGTTCAAGTGGTAAGGCTAAGACTTGGACCCGTATCTCATAAATTCAATTTCTGGTGTTCCTTCCACAAAATGCACTACATCTTGTGACAAGGCTGTTTGAAGCAAAAGAGAACAATGAAGAAGATTCTTTATCTGAAAATTCTTGAGGTAGATTTGTTTCAAATTCATATACTTTTAGAATAAAATCCAAACTTCTTAGCATGCCATGCATGGCTTTAATGTAATAGATCCTTCTTATCTTACTTCTCTTCAGTTTTCTCTTTTCCTTCCTTCCATCTCTCTACCCATTTCAACTAATACAGTGTGCATTTATTCAGCACTTGCCATAAGCTAGGTTCTATTGAAGGTGTTAGAAATAGAGCAGGAGCCCTGGCTGGTGTGGCTCAGTTGGCCGGAGGGTCATCCTGTACACCGAAAGGTGTCAAGTTTGATTCCCAGTCATGGTACATACCCAGGTTGCAGGTTCAATCCCTGAAGGGCATATGTGGGAGGAAACCAATCAATATTTCTCTCATATCGATGTTTCTCTCCCTCCCTCTTATACACATCTA